CGAGTTAGACACTGAAGCACAGTGATTTATTGGCTGTTAGACAAATATTGGAACAAGGACTTGACTGGAGCCTTCTGCCTTCCGATTCCATGATGTTCTTTTCCTGCCACCCTACTGCCCCTGCTGAGATGGAGGGGGTGGCATCTGTCCCCCCCATTCTCCCTGTGGGTTGTCCTAGGTGCCCCTTCATTGCCGAATGGACTCACAGTCCACTTGATGGTCTCGGCCTTCTTTTCCCTGTAACACTTCACAGAATCAAGTTTCTGATACATTGGTTCTCCCTTTTCCTGACCACACCAAAACCCTCAATTCCCTACCCTTTTCCATGAAAATAAAAATGAGAAAATAGGGTAGTATTTTAATTCTGGACTGTCTTCCAGATTCTCATACTTGTTTTGACTTTGAAATAAAATGTTCATTTTCACGGTCTTTTGGTGGCACTAATCCTTTATTTTTTTCTCTCTCAAGTTACGCTGCTGTTGGCAGTGTTTCTTATGTTAAGATATTTTTTTTTTTAAGTTTTAGGATTTTTTTAGTTTTATGATCTCAGATGCCAAAGCACTTTTTATTTATATAAGTGATAGTTGTGGCACAGAAATATTAACCTTCCCTGAAGAAAGGAACTACGTTTGTAACAAAATTGAGGTTTGGTCAGAGCCTTAAAAGTATTTGTTTGAGACACAGTCTTGATTATCTGTGTGCTCTGCAGGGAGTTTGCAGTAGGACAATCCTAAATTAGTATCCCCAGGGCATAGTTCTTGCAGTCTTGGCAATAACTTTTCCTGCAGACTCACTTGCTTACTCTGTAGCACATCTTCCTTTATTTTGATATTTCTGTGACTTGTGCAGAAGTTATTTTAATTTCCATTTCATAGATATGGAAATCGAGATATTAAGTGGAATGTGACTGTTAATAATAACAACTGAGATATTTTTATGGCCAGATTCGTGCTCTGTTTACATGTATAGTTTTTTGTTTTTAATCTTTATAACCTTTGAGAAAGCTACTCTTATTACCCTCATTTCACACACGAGGGAAGTGAGGTTTTGAGAGATTGGAGGACACTGACTGTTACATGGATAGTCAAGTTGGAACCAAGCTCTGTGTCGCTAGGTAAGGATACTAGGAGAAGGAAGTGTGGAGGCCATGTTGTGGGCGGAGAACCTGTGATGAGTGATAAGATTGGGGTCCAGAGAGATGGGTTGTTCCTGGCATGTCAGTGGGAAGCAGGAACGAGAGGGCTCCATGGCAAGTGGGAGCACGCTTATAAATGTATGTAACTCCTCTGGAGCTGGGCTGGTGTCCTTGACACGTCCTACGTCACATAGGACCTCACCTTCTTTTTGGCTCCGGACTGCTTTACTTCGTGACTGATGCAGAGTGTGACATACAACAATGCCAGATAGACACCAGCTTAGAAGGGCTGTGGCTTAGAAAAGAAAATATTTCTCAAATCCATCTGTTTCTTTCTCTGTAAAACGAGAAGATTGGATGAGGTGATCTGTAAAATCCCTTCAGAACCACCACCTTGTAATATATAGGAATTGTTAAACATGGGCAGAATAAATTCTAAATTTAGGATTTGAATTTTATGATTGTCTTGTCCTCCTTTTCCTGAAAATAATCGTTTAAAACACCATATTCTGAAGTTGTCTCATAGAATATTATTTTATTTGGGTATTGGGCTTAAATTCTTTTGGGGGGCTGAAAATTTTTGTGGCAATACTATCTATCTCACTAATACAAACCTATCTTCCCCCCTCCCCAGGCCCTGCAGGAGCGGCTAAAGATGTGTAAGTATTTAATATTATGATTTGCTAAGCTCTTTCCAAGGAACACACTCATTTCATGATTATGACCTTTAGATATATGTAGGTATGGCCGAAGAGACACGGAAATACTTTCGTACAATGTACAAATCAAGATTATCATTTGGTTTATGATTAAAGTGCTATTTGAAGAATGTGATTATGACCCCCCCAACAGATTTTTTTTTTAAAAATTATTTTTAGAAAGAGAGGAAGAGAGAGGGAGAGAGAGATAGAAACATCAATGATGAGAGAGAATCATTGATCTGTCAGCTTCCTCCTGCATGCCCACTGCTGGGGATCAAGCCCGAGACCTGGGCATGTGTCCTGACCAGGGATTGAACCATGACCTCCTGGTTCAAAGGTTGATGCTCAACCACCTAGCCATGCTGGCTGGAAGAAAAGTTAAAAGAGAAAAAAATCAGCTGCTATTCTACCATCAGAGACAACCATCATTGATAGTTTATACTATTCCATTTTTTCTAATTCTTCCTGATTGTGTGTATATATGATCTTGTACATTGAAGTCTGTTACTCTTTTATTTAATTTTTGCGTGGAGGATATGTAGGTGTACTTTTAGGCTAAAGGGTTGAAACCAGTAGAGTCAGAAAAGCTGAGGGTGGTTTGGGGAGGGAGTTATCTGTGGTGAGGAAGAAAATAAATGATGGAAATAGGTATTAGAACAGGCGACAAGGATTAAAAATGTAGGTTAACCTTAGAAACTCGAGATAAGGAGGAATGCATGGGTGAAGATATATGAAATTTAATCGCCTTAAGACAGACTCGCATGCATATCCTGGAGTGAGCCTTCCTTTTTCTCTCTCCCTCTGTCTCTTTAAAATTAAATCACAGGGCAGTACATGCAGAACCAAACAGAAGTGGCTTCAGCGTGATGACATTTGGCTGCTTTCACAAACCTGCCAAGATCGGCCATGCTTTTTAAAATTGCAGTGAATGATCTTAGCTCTTTGGCACAAACAGGTTGTGTTAGGATATTTTTGGCTGGAGATGGCAGAGGCCCAGCTTAAACTGGCTTAAACAAACAAACAAAAAGGAATTTATTGGCACGTGTAATGGAAAAGCTCCAGGGGTTTGGCCTAATCAGCTGGGTTCAGGTAATCAAATGACAGGTACGAATGCGCTCATCTCCGCCTTCCTGTTTTTGGCTCCACGCGTAGGCAGCTTCCCTCAAGTGGTGATGGAGATGCCAGTTTATATCTGATCAGCTCAATGATTCCTGTGGGAAGAGGGCTGCTCTTTCTCTGTGGCTTGATTAAAAGTTCTAGGGCGAGGCTCTCCCTGGCCAGGACTGGGGTCCTGTGCCTCTTTCTGAAATAGTCAGTGGGCCAGGGAACGTGAGCTTCTCATTGGCCAGCCTAGGTCATGTGCCCACTGCTGCAGCCAATCAGTGCCATTAGCTCCACATGACTATTTGGCCAAAAAGTGAGAGAGTGGCAGTTCCCACTCCAAAGAAAAATTGGGATGCCGTTACCAGAATGGGGGCAATTATATCTGGGCAGGCAGAAGCAAAGCATGTTCTCCATGTAGGCCAATTTTCATGTTATTGAAAAAAAATCTCAAAATTTTAAGGGGTAGTTATAAAAATATTATAATTATGTTTCAAATGAGAAATGCTATTAAACAAGTTGACTCAGACTTAGTAGTTGCTGTTGAAAGGAAAAGACCGTAGCCACTCACTGTAAGCAAGATAACTCAAGTGCTTCTTTCACTTAAAACCTGTGAAGTGACATTTCATTAAGGTTCCTTTCTTGACAAAGCAATTTTATTCTTATGGAAAGTGGCAGCTGGAGAGAAAATTATCTTGGAATGAGTTAACATAAAACATGCTGAAGCTCTTGTCTTTTTAAAAAAATGAAATTACGAATCTCTAGTCTTGAGTTTCCTTGGAATCCTTTATTAATTTCTGCATCTAAAGCACTTATATCAGCTCTCTGTTCCTTGTTACGAACCTGAGGGTGTCTGATGGACCCATCCTCTGTGAAGTAGCGGGCAGGGTGTGGAGGATGGGGCGGGGTAGCATTGGAAAAGCGTGCATTTGGGGAGCAGAGAGACCTGCTGCCATTTACTAGCTGTGCCCTTGGTATTCTTATCTGCAAAATTGGAATAGCACTAACGGTGCAGGGCAGCCATCTTCATCTTTACCATCATCCTCTGCAGTTAGTAGCTCCTCTTGATTGAGGGCTGTGAGCTATACAGCGACTCTAGCACTTCAGGTACATTATCTCATTCCGTACCCATGGTAGTCCAATGGGGACAGTAATGCTGTTTCATTTTGCAAATGAGGAGTGAGGCAGAGAGCACTTAAGTAACTGCTCGAGGGTTATGATGGTTATTGGTACAGTAGGTTCTGTGTCCTAGTGTAATACTTGGCATATGCTTTGCTGCCCCTGTAAGTGCTAGAGAAGGATTGGGTGGTTTAATTGGTGTTGAGAAGATTTAGCAGAGCCTCCGCCATGAATACCTGATGGCAGGAGACCCGTTGCCTTGAGGGCCTTGCCTTCATAGAGATCGCACAGTCCCAGTGGGTGTCCATCCGTACATGGTTAGATTTTCCTTGGGCAGGACCCAGCGGAATATGACCTTGAAGAGGTAAAGTAGATGGGTGGCTTCCTCCAGGGATAGAGACCAGCAAATGTTGCTGAAATGCTTGACTACAAGGCATGGGCTAGAGAGACGGGGAGGGACGCCCACAGGGGCTCATGAATGGCGCGCGCGCGCACGTGCGAGCGTGTGTGCGTGCATGCGTGTGTGTGTGTGTGTCTGTGTCTGTGTAGGGACTGGAGGTGAAGTTGCAACAAGACAGCGGGCGTCTTGGGACTGGGAACAGCGGAAGGAAGACTTTTCCCCCACTTAGAGAGTGGGATTTTCTCCTCTGAAATGTCAGAGGTGAAGTAGTTCCAGGAACCAAGCTCTACTGAGCAGCCGTGGGAGTAAGTTATTAGAGCAGCAATTAAAATGGTTGGGATAGAGGAAGTTAGTGAAATGTGAGGCAAGAGGTCGATTGGATGATCATGATGCTTAGAAAGAAAGCCAAGGTCTTCAGTGTGTTGGGGCTGTTTGTAGCAGGCTCCGGCGCCCAAGGGGAGAGGTTTTGAGTGAAGGCGGAATTGGCCCTGAGTGAGAGAGCTCTGTGCGGAGGTTGGGGAGCATGCTGGCTCCATCTCCTGTTTGGAGACTCTGGGATGTGAGAAAACAAGCTGCATGTGGTCCAGGTTCTGGAAAAGTGATACCAGCAGGGAAAAGCAAGGGTTCTTTAGGTAAGGAGGTGGAGAGAACATTCCTGACTGACCTATGGCAAATGATACTTTCACAGCCAGTGATGAAATAACCCAAACCCCGTGTGCTTCTTAGGAGAGCAATAGAGGGGCAGGGAAATTGTCATTCAGCTCTGATCCATTAGCCCCATCCAAGGAGTGAATGCTTCTCAGGTTCTCCAGTGATACATTCTAGAAGAAAGAAGGGGACTGATATTGCCAAGGGGCTCATCCAAGGAAGAGATTTAAAGATGACTCTCCAAAGAAGTGTTGACATTGGGAAGAAATGAATGAGGTTTCCGTATAGGCCGAATCAGTCCACGATAAAACATTAATTCGATCCTAAATCAAATGTAATTGTTTGGTAGACTTGATCAGAAGCACCCTAAAAAGCAGGAGCCGTCATAAAACATTATAAAGTTAAATAATTATACTTAATCTGGAGAACTGTGGTATGACTGGAAGTCAGTATTGTCAATTAACAAACTTATTCCAAAAGATTACGATGAGCGGCAACTAAAAGTAGATAGTTAGCTACGCTCAAAGTCTCCAGAGGCTTCCATATTAAATTTTTACTATTTACAAATCAAACTAAGTTGGTGGCACTGCAAATATGGAAAAAGAAAAGACTTCAGGCTGTTTTTTAGCTTCTTAGATCATTGCTAATAAGAATAGCTCTAGATTTAGAATATTTTTCTTGATGAGTAAAAAAAATAAATCTCTCTCTTTTTTTTTTTGCCACATAACTATGTTAGGTCTGGAAAGCTAGGGAAGTGAACTTTGTGCATTTTAAGGCAGGCTATAGCCAGGATGAGTTAGGAGATGCTAATTGGGTGTGGGGGAGGGAACTCTGTCTCACATTTGTCATCTATATTTGTTCCTGAGAGTGCACACAATGGATCCGTGCCATGGTTCCATTATTTTACCTTTGAAACCCTTTTTAAGGCCACTTCAGATAGCTCTTTTATACAACTCAGAAACTGAGCAAACAAGTGAATAAAACATTTTGACTATCATGTATTACTGAGGAAGAAAAAAGTAGTGGTTTATATTTGATATAGTAACTTTGGATAAAGTTTCTTTCTTTCTTTTTAAATTTATTGTTTTTGTTTGCCCAGTATGCCAGGTTTGGGGGCTGGTAATTATATCCTTTGAATAGTCACCATCAGGTTGAATGAAAAGCTGTGGTGAATAAAAGCTAATATAAGAGTCAGATAATCTGCAGAAAGATGTAGAATCCAAGCACTGGATCTTAACGTGTTCCTTAATACGTTA